CCCCAAAACCCCAAAACCCCAAAACCCCGCAATAATGAAAAGAAAAGTATATTGAGTGATATCAGAATAAAAAGTATAACTTAATATATTTGGCTGATTAAAAGCACATTTACTTATTAGTTTATAAGTTTGATAAATAATGGCATCTGATGGAGACAAGAAAAAGCTTGAGGAAAATATGAAATTCCTCCAAGAAAAAGAAAAAGGTTTTCCAATCAGTTTTTTTAATCTAAATATAAATAGATCTAAATGAAAGAATGGAGTAGTTTGATTAACAAAAAGAGAGATAGGCATAACTGGTAAAGGATTTAAAAGAAAAAGAAGGCTCATTATAAGGTCTAACAAATGAGGTTAATTCTAAAACGAAACTCTTAAACTTAGCAAATTAATAACTGCCTTAGAAAGAAGCTAGAGTTGCTGAACTTGATAAGTTCATTAAAGATAAGGAAGGTAAACTCAAAGAACTAGAGATGACGATCGAGAAGAGACAAGCAGATTCAAATAAAGAGTAAGTTCTGGATAAATTTGTTTATTTAAGATTTATCGCGAAATCGATAAACCATAATTTACATCAAAACTTCGAAATCTGAACTTGATTCCAATTTATTAATATTTTAGTTTGAAGGCTATTACTATTCAGCTGAATGATTCAAATACTAAATTACATGCAACGGAAGAAAAACTAAAGGAGCGTGAAGATGCAATAGATAGTTACAAGAAAAAGATAGTTGCTTTGGAATTTGCTTAGGAAGATTACAAAAAGAGAGAGGATAATTTTCTTCTTAGAATAAAAGAAGTACAGGAGTAGATGAAAGTATAATAATCGGACTTAGACTCAAATTATCGTAAAATCGTTGAAGTAGATGAATAATAAATCTAAACTGAGCCTGTAAAAATCAAAAGCAAAGAAGAGGCAGATGAGAAAAAGAAAAAAAAGAAAGAAAAGGAGGCTGAGAAATAAGCTTAAAAGGATGAAAAGGAAAGATCAAGAAAAGAACTGAAGCAATAAATGGAAAATGAAAAAAAAGAACTTGAGCAGTAACTTGAAGAGTCTAAATCTTATTAATAAAAGGAAAAAGAGGCATATTTGAAGCAAATAAGGGAACTTCAAGATCATGTGTCATTATAAAACATCTAAATAGAGTAACTGTAAAATGCTAGTCAAAACTTTAATGCAACTGCGACAATGGAACTTGAGGTAAAGCTTGCCAAGGAATCAAAAGAGTTAGAAAAATTAAGACTAAAGTTATCAGATATGGAGCCCAAATATAGAGAACTGGAAGTTAAGTAAGTTTAAACTGAGATGAAATTGAATTAATTACAAATTCAAACCAATGAGTAAAAACTTCAAAATGAATCACTTCATTAAAAATCTGAATAATAAACAAAAAGAATCAAAGAGCTGAAAAGTCAAGTTAGGTAAATGAGTTAAGAAAAGGAAGAATTTGAAAAGGAAAATTAAAAGAGAAAAGAAAAGATGAAGTTATTATAATAACAGTTAAAGATTCACGAGGAAGAAATGTAGGCTAAGGATGCTGAAATTGAAAATAAAGCCAAGGTCATGGAGAGAATGATGCAAGCAAATGAAGATATGAAAAAAGAAAATTAAAAACTGAGTCTCAAATTACGGTAGATTTAAACGACCCAAATCAAAGATATGCAAAAAAAGATAAGAGATAAAGACAGTGAAATAGAGGTACTCAAAGAGATGTTAAGAAGTTCATAGTTACAATCAAAAAGCAAAGATAATGAAATCTAGAGATTGCAGAAGAAAATTAATAGAATGACAAAGGAAGGGTATGTAGAAAAAATGCAAGCTTATGTAGCTCATAGGCCAAATTAAAATCATCTTTAGCATCATCAATATTAGGGTAACCACGGAGCTGACCGTACAATAGATATAGAGGACATCGATATTAAGACTAGAGATAATTTTACTGAGGAAGATGAAGAACATAATGCATAAGAAGAGGAGGATTTCTATGATAATCATGATCTTAATCATAGAGAATAGGATAAAACTAATAGTGAAATGAAAGCAGTAAGGGTGAAATTGATGGGAAAGAAAGATCTGATCCTTCCAGATATCTCTTCAAAGAGTAGCTCATCATAAATGAACTCAATGTTCGAAAATGGACTTGCAAACAATCGACGAAGTTAAAAGGATCTTCACTCAAGTGTATTATTCGATTAGGAGCTTGATGAATAAAATGTAAGCAGGAATCAGTTAATGAGAAACAAAAGGAAAGCTCAATTACAAGAGAACAATAAGATATTTGAGAACTAATACAACAGATTAGTAGATGATTATCAAAGAAATGCAAGTAAAAATAATTTCTTATTATTCTAAATGGCTTTTAGGTTCAAGGTAGTACAAATTTTCCAGTGTTGGAGTAACAGGAGCTATTTCAAATGAACCATCTCCAAATGTTAATGTCAAAAGATTAGGTAACTATAAATATCATAATTCAACTCTATTAGTTAAAAATTCAGCCAATTATCAATCACTAGACCACATTAGAGGTATGGGCCAGAGTGAGCCATCTACTATTAGTGGAACCCGCTCAAAATAAAGAAAGTTAATAAACATACTGGAGGAAAAATCTGATTACTTGGTTATATCCCCACCTAAAATTGGCGGAAGATATTGATACCCCTATATAATATACAAAATAATTCTACTTTATAAATTTTTTTAATAAGTATAACTTTTACATAGACCATTATATTAATGAGTTAATAGTTTTATTATATTAAGGACATTATAGCAATTGTTTTCAAAAATATATTATGAAAAAAGAGTTAAGTATCTCAAATAAATATTCATCATCAGTACATTTTCTGAAAGGCAACTTCATTTTGATCACCCTAATAAAGAAGCTTTGAATTTTTATCATCATATGATCTGATAAAGTTCTTGTATATTGAAACAGTAGCAACCATGAGTAAGATTGTAACAATAAAGAGTACGAATATAGATAGTGACTGATACTGTGCTGAGGCTATTTCATTATCAGTCATTAGTTCATCTAAATTATACAAGACTGCATAATCTGATTTGCCCTTGCCTTCTTTCCTCTCTTTTCCTTTACCTTTCTTATCATGAGCTTTTTCACCTTTCTTACCTTTCTCTTATTTCTTTTGGTGAGTAACTTCTTATTCTTCTTCTTCTTCTTCAGCTTCTAAATCTTATTCGTAGGTCTTAACTTTCATAAGCTCTTTAGCCTTCTTAAACCTCAGAAAATCTTAATATTCTTAAAGTTCCCTCGAATCTAAAATGTTTTCCAATGCTCTTGGCTATAATTTCATCTACTGTTCAAGATGATGCTACTGTCGAATTTAGTTTACAGAATCTGGAAGCAGATCAGAAGAAGGATACAAATCTACATGAATGTTAAACTCGGTGTAGTTAATATTACTTTGATCTCTGAACATCTCTGAATGTGGTCTGTGATGTTAAGAATTTTGATGTACAGGCTAATTATCAATTGTATGATACTCTCTAATTCTTATTTGATCTTTATAAGGGAAATTCTCCTCATTAAAGTTCCAGTTCTTTGGCTCTGCTATTTACTCTTGATACAATCTTAAAGGATCATGCACTATAGGCCCTTAATGACTTCTATGAATTTATTGATCAATCATTTGATCATTTTATCCCTGATATTAATCTAATTCATGTTATTGATGATGAAACAAAGCCTATGGATAAACTTTCTCAACTATCTTCTCTTATTTTACACCATAAGGGGTCTAAGTTATATTTTTCTCAATGTATTAATGGCCACCTCTTCCACCAATGTATTCACTTTGTTATATTTTAGCTCTATCATTTTCACCAATTCTTAAACTTCTTTCTATTTATATTGTATCACTTTCATCCAAATCATCATTATCATCATAGATTGTTTCTCTGCTGATTTCTTTGGTAACTTATTAAGAAGGTAAGTTACTCACATACTTATCTCTATTGAATCCTAATCTGTCCATAAGTAGATCTGATTAAGTTCCCTGCTCTATTTTACAGCCACATTTATATTAAACACAGAATTCAACTTCTGGCTTTGATGCAAAACTTGATAAGCATCTCTAGGCACATGGCTTATCGCAATCCTTTAGAATTTGAGATGTCCAGTCTTATGCTTAGAGATAACCTGTAGGAATTTGCTTAGTAATCTCCTCATCTAAACGATACCAGCAATTGCATCTGTATCTTGGGCATTAGAGAAGTGTGTCAAAAGGAACATATTTCTTAATTGCAAAGCAATCTCTGTGGCACTGAAGATCACAGTCTCTAATGAGATCATAACCATTAGCATCCAAATAAGTTTTCCTTATCGCAGTTGGCCAATTTTCTGAGACTCTTTCCGACGCCTATTTAACAATATCTAATCTTCTCACGTTAAACTCAGTCTCATTGAAATATGGTTCAGGAATATGCTAGAGAGCAAATGAGTTTAAGCATTTACATTGAGGTGCAATACAAGAGACGAATGTATTTATTACTGTTGACAAATTATAATCCTGATAGCATTATTTGGAGCATCCGTAATTGCAATCACTTGTAAGATTCATAAAGTCCTTTGACTTTCTTTCATATGCATCCCATTTGCCAGCTTGCTTATGAAGTTTCTCTCTGAATTTTTCGAGCCTTTGAATTTTTTCCATCACAGCAACTTACCTTGCTTTTTCACCCTAAAGCATATATTCTAGCTTTTATTTGTCATGAGTTTCGTTTATGGACACTTGCTTTTGCTATAATAAGTTCATTATTACTCTATCATTCTCCTAATCATAGTCATCTTCATCAAAATAAATATCTTATTCCAAATGCTCTAGTTTAGCATAGAGATTCATAAGTAGATTACTCACTATCAGGAATAAGAGAATAAACCGATTAGACTGTAGCATCAACAAATTTTAATTTAAGATTATAATAATTTGCTTTTTTTTAAATAACTCAAAACTAAAATAAGTAAATATATATATATATTCCTGCTCTAAATTTCCTATTTCTTCATAGAGGGGTTTTGGGGTTTTGGGGAGATCGGAAGAGCACACGTCTGAACT